CCCCTGCACCTGCCTGCCGCCGCCGGCCTGGGCTAGTAACAGTCCCGGCACTGCGGGCTGGGGTGGCCAGGAGCCCCGTCCCAGCACCGCCAGCCTTGGGGACCCCTAGCATGGGCAGAGCTGGAGCCCTCCGCCACAAACTCGTGCTGCCAGGGCTGCTTTGGGCTGAATCTGGGGGAACTGTGCTCAGCCATATTGACCACCCCCAGACTGGGGAGGGGGGCTGTGCCCCATGGGGATAAGGGTTCCTGCCTTTGCTTGCAAGCTCTGGGCACCCTGCATTGTCCCCAGTGCTGCTGCCTGGGGGTGGGCACCTGCCATGACCTCCCTGCAAGCCAGGGAGCTGCCCCCTTGGGACATGTGGCCCCAGGGGAGGCCATGACCATGTCCGTGTCCCCCTCCCATCCACCTTGCTGCCAGAAGGACCATTACTAGCCTTGTTCCGGTGAGCTCTGTCCCCCTGCCCAGGGGCGTGAGGAATGAGCCCAGCTCCACGGGCCCCGCTTGGCCTCCATCACACCCTGCCAGAGGGGCCAGGACTGCACCCCATGCTTGGCCTCCTGTACCCAGACACCCCCTCCTTGCCCGCCATCGCCTCCATTTCGGCTCAGCATGTGGCGCTGCCTGGTTGGCGGGTGCCTGGGGGGGACGGTGCGCTGGGGGTGGGGGCGGAAGATGAAGGTGGACGAAGAGGAGAGTGTGCCTTCACCACCCTGGCCTGGCACCCTTTTGCTGGGGGCCATGCAGCGACACATGGGGATGTGTCCTCCTTCACACTGTTATTTCCACCCTAGGAGCTTTCCACTGAGTTTGGTTTGATCTCCTTGGCCCCATCTGACCCACAGAGCCTATCCCTCTGCCTTGCACCCCCTCCTTCACCCATGGGTGCATGCACAACTCTTGGTTGGGGGGGCGGTGAAGAGGGTGGACTGGGTTGCTGGTCACAAGACATCCAAGTTCTGCAGGCTTGGGGACCCCTGGGCTTGATGTGATGGTCCCTGAGATGGAGAGGATACAAGAGAGAGCAGGTCAGCCCTTAGCCCTGACAGGGTCATGGCTACCCTGTGGCACAAGGGCCAGGTCGGGTCCCTCCTGCCCAGTGGTGTGCCCATGCTCACTGCCATGCATGGAGCACTGCCATCTGCCCCATGCCCATAGTAAGGGAAGCTGGGCCACTGTCCCCTGCCCAATCCCAGGCTCCTCAGCCCCTGGCTGGGCAATGAGGGGCTCACTGGGCCCTGCCGATGGGTTGGATGACAGAGAGCCAGCCTGGTGCTGGGGATGTCTCATCATGCCCCAGCCATCCTTGACAGTTGCTGCACCCCTGCTGCTGCCCTCAGAACTCTTTGAAGGAGGCCACATTGGGTCCAATCCTACTGCCCAGCCCATCCTGCCCCATGGCGGGTGTCCTGCCTCCTCCAGTGGGGTTGGTGGTGGGCAGGGGATGTCAGGGACACAAGAGGAATGGGCATTCATGTCTCCTCCCTTTGCCATGCAGGCTCTGGTGTGGATGACCCTGTTGGGGAGGTGTCCATCCATGTGGAGCTTTTAACTCACCCTGGCACTGGCGAACACAAAGTCACAGTCAAAGGTGGGTTCTGCCGCCTGGGATGCCAGGATCTGGCAGGTGGCAGAGCCCCTGTAAGCCTCATTTGCCCCCTCCTTGCAGTGGTGGCTGCGAACGACCTCAAGTGGCAGACATCGGGCATCTTCCGGCCCTTCATTGAGGTCAACATCATTGGGCCCCATCTCAGTGACAAGAAGAGGAAATTTGCCACCAAATCCAAGAATAACAGCTGGGCCCCCAAGTACAATGAAAGCTTCCAGTTGTGAGTGGCATCGCAGGGCTGGGGATGTGGGGCTGGGCTGGGGATGTGGGGCTGGGCTGAGGAATGCGTCCACATGATGTGGAGACCCCTTCCTCCTGGGGTCTGCCAACGAGTTTGCTCATCCCCCTGAAAATGTTTAGATGTTTTCTCATTGGTAAACGCAGGGATAGGAGAAAAGGAAAAAAAAAAGAAAAGGCTTTTTAGGGGCAGTGGGGAGGCCAGGGGGCCTGGGTGTGTAGCCTACTATGCCAACACTGCCCGTCCCTTGTCCCCTCGCAGCACCCTGGGGACAGAGACGGGCCCTGAGTGCTACGAGCTGCAGGTGTGTGTGAAGGATTACTGCTTCGCCCGGGAGGACCGGACCGTGGGCATCGCTGTCCTGCAGCTCCGCGATATCCTGCAGCGACCTGGCTGTGCCTGCTGGCTTCCCCCCGGCCGACACCGGCCTCACTGTCCTCCGCATCCTCTCCCAACGCAACAATGATGAGGTGGCCAAGGAGTTCGTCAAGCTCAAGTCGGACACGCGCTCAGCCGAGGAGGGCAGCAGTTAAACCCCTTCTGCTCCCCCAGCCCTTTCCCCCTACTCCTGGCCCCTTTTCTACAGCATCCTCCAGCCACATATAAGCCATAAGAGCGGCCACAAGAGGAGTCTCCTTCCCGGCCCAGGTGTGGGTGAGGGGTGGGATGTGGCCACAGTGACAGACCCTGCCCCGTCCCTCCCTTGGCTAGACTGGCTGGGTGACAGGGGTGCAGGGCATGGGCATGCCCCCATCCCACCCCAACGGGAAGGTGCTGAGGCTGATGGGGCTGCAGGGAAGGGCTGGACCCCAGGTTGGGCCATGGGACAGATCTGCCCCTTCCCAGCCTGTCTGAGATGGAGGAACCCAAATGGCCCATCCCTGACCCTATTCTGTCCTACCCAGCCCCAAGCCTCATCGAGTGACACAAGGAGAGGGCTGAGGGGTGTAAGGGTGGTGTCTCATCCCGCCTGGGAGTGTTGGTGAGTGGCTGGAACAGCACGATAGCCCCTTGTCCCCATCCCTCGAGTATTGTTGGGTGCCCTGAGGGACAGGGAGGCTCCCACCCGCTGAGCACCCTGTACATATGTAAATAGCTGTACATACACAGGGCAGCTGGACAACACAGCTGTGTCCTGCACCTGGAAGGGCTATTGGGGCTGTTGGGTTGGCGGGCGCAGCCCCCCACGTACTCTGCACAGGGTCCCCTCCCTGGCTGGCAGTGCCATCACGGGG